AAGAACTGGCCAGTGATGACATTCAGGGACACACATCCACAGGGGCCCAGGCATCATTAGAAACATTGATGTAGGCCTGGAAGAGTAGAATGGAGCAACTGACCTGACACTGGCGAGCCCCCAGCGGCCAGTAGAACGCCAGCGCGGCAGGGAGAAAGCGGAAGGCAAACACGCATCGGGGCGCTCCCCAGCCAATCAGGGCGCGTCCCCAATTTCACCAGGGCATTGCCGGATTGAGAACAGCCGCTGCCCCGCCCAGCAGTGCAGCCTGCACATTCAAGCCCCGTCGCCTGCAGCGGCGCGCCAACCCCGGGGCATGCCCTCCCTCAGCCCCCCGCCCCCCAGCATGCAGCGCCCCGACTCCGCCCGCCCCGCCGGCAAGCGGGGCAAGGCCAAGCGCGGCGGCCCGTCGGCGGCGGTTGGCGCCCAGCTGGCGGCTGCCGCACTCTTCCTCGCCCTCCTCTTCTACATCTCGCGCTCCTTCTCATCGGCTGGTGGCGCCTACGAGGACCGCAGCCTGCTGGAAATACGTTCGGCCGATCCTGCAGCCGCCCGCCACGAGCAGCTGCAGCGCCAGCGGGGCGCCGCCGCCGCCACCGCCGCCGTGGGCGACGACGGCGGCGGCGTGCTGCTACTCTCCTCCCTGTCGGCCGCCGACGGCGGCGGCGCCGACGCGACCGCCGCCTCCCTGAGCGGCCTGGACGACGCGGCGACGGCGGGGGCCGGGGCGAGCACCCATCGAAGCAGCTGGCTGTCTGCGGCCTTGCTGTGGGCTGAGGAGCACCACCAGCAGCGGCTGCGGGCCAAGGCGGGGCGGTACCAGGCGCCCACCGGCTGCGGGGTGCTGCCCTGCCAGCAGCGCCAGCTGGTACGGCCCCGCACCCTCGTCCTGTACGCTTATGCAGCAAGTGAGTGCGCGGGGGCGGGGCGGGCGGCTGGGCGCGGGTGGCTGCGGCCGGCGGCGGGTGTGGTGGGATCGACCGCCGCCGCCTCCTCCCGACACCTGCAGCACTGTTACTGCCGCCGCTGCACCCATGCTGCTGCTGCTGCTGCTGCTGCGCATGCGGACGGCCCTCCT